AACAAATCATTCGACGCGATAGCATAAAATCGCCTACAAACCATTCGAAGTGAGCACATCGTTTTAACTTTCTCGAACTGTGAACTATAGTCATCACTGTCATTAAAAAAGCAACAAAACCCGAATATTCGAGTCAAAATCTCGGAAGAAAGATCAGAAAGCGAACGACTTTGTGTGCCGACGGACAACATCGGCGATCGAGTGAGCAGTTGAAGCCAATTTCCCACGTAATTTTGTGGCTAAACTTGCCTGCTTGACTCTTTTGGATACTCTTAGCATGATTGTGTAGGAATACGTCCAGAAAATGTGATATTGGTACAATAAATCGCACGATAAGCACATGGAAGGCTAACCCGGAAACAACTCAAGCGCTAAAAACGGTTTTTGCGCAGAACGATGCCAGAATTTCAGTTCTGCGCATATCAATATGCGTTGGTACAGAACGTGTTGAATTCTGGGTAAAACCTCGTACCGTGCAGGGCAAGCGACTGGAAAAAGACACCGGTGTTCGGTCGAATCGGTGGAAACAAAATCGTCACTCCCAGAATAACTACGCAAAATAACGATCTAAACTCGAACCATTCGAGCCACAATATAAACATAAAAAAATGACTTTCGTTGCATTTGACAATGATAAACTTACGGAAAAGCCGTGTTCTTCTCGGTCCTAACGTCGGTATAATCCGCCATTTTATTTGAGTGTGTTTGCCACCTGACTCTGCCCAGTGACGTCATCATGTGCGCTATAGAAGAAGGTCTGTGATTCGTTGACTAAAATCGTCGACAGTGGGTCTCGTTGAAATCTCGTTACATAGGCATCGACTCAGATGTATGTAGGGCGGAATTTTAAAAAAATCACAAAATCAAAATCAAAGTAAAATAATAAAATAAAAAGGCATTAATAACAAAAGTAATAAAACATAAAATTAAAATTAAAATAAGTTTATAGCCAAAATAATTAAAGCCCGTACACTACATCAGATTTTAATCAGATTGGTGTTCTCATTACTGTATTTAATGCAGACAGTCATACTTTTAAATCATAATTTTAGTCACTATCATTTTATTATATTTCATATAGGGCCGACTTGAGCAGGAGCTAAAAACGCATCCAAAATATAAAAAGTTTTGGGGAATAATTAAAAAAAATGACAGCAAGGCTGATGACAAAGCTCTAGCAAGGTATGTATGGCAGCAGTTATAGTGTATCAATTATTATATCTAGTACCCATGATGCAATGCAAGGTAAATCAAAAGTATTGCTCCTATTTATCAACAGGTTGAATTTTGAAAGAAGATTTGTTGCAAAAATCATCGACCATTTTTTCACTATCCTAAATTCAATACCAGAAAAAGGTAAGGGCTTAATGTGTCTCAGTCAGCATTGCATTCAAATTTTGTGTTAAATATACAAGGTGTGTACAAATGGGTCTGTCGTATGGGACCCATATGGTGTGGTGAATGTGGTTCTCATATGTGAATTTAATTTTATGGCCACTTTGTGGAATAGACTTGGGTCTTGGGTCTTGGGTCTTGACTTAGTAATGAGATAGATGATATCTTATGGTGTTATTAATAGAAATAAAATTGTTTGTCTTCTGTTGATTCACAATAAAGTGTAATTGATGCTTCAAGACACTGTAAACATTGTATGTGTTGTATCTGCAGGTGAGGTGTCAATGCAGAAAGTACATTACTGTGAAAGATTCCTTGAACTCCTGATTGATATGGAGGTGGGTATCCTAGCAACCACAGCTGACTAGTATCCCAGCAACCACAGCTGACTATTACACTTACTATACAATGCTTTTTATGTAACTGGCCATATTTTGCATTTGGCGAGCAGTGCATTGAGTCGCAGTCAATAATCTTTTGAATTCAATTGTTTGTGGTTTTCATACAGAAAATGTAAATTGTCTTTTTAGCTGAATTATCTTAAAGTAAAAAAAAGTGCTTAGATAGAACACAAAAGCTTCCATATCATCAATCATTGTGTTAATATCTTATTTTAATTATTTTATTTTCAGTCACTGTTGCCAGCACGTCGATTCTTCAATACAGTTCTGGATAATGCACACTTAGTTGTAAAATGTAGAATGTCTAATCTATCCCAACGAAAGGAAGGACGACTATTTAATCAAGTAAGTATTACGTTACAGGCTTATTACTGAGTAAACCACCTCTGTGTATGTATCCATCCATGTGTCTGTCTTTGCCTTACATCTTGGTTTGCCATGTCTTTGCTTTAATAGTTGCTAAATGTGTTGAAGTTCTATGCTGGATTTGAGATAGATGAGAGATCTGGTGAAGCTCTTACTGATCACGATATGACTAATATACACTATGATAGAATAACATCATTACAGGTAAGTAACAAAACTGTGTGTGATATACTGATGGTTCTCAATATTTGTCACTTTTAATGAACAGGAATGAAAATCGAGAGGTCAGTCATCTTTCACACTCTCTCCTTTTTACCACAGAGGGGGGCATTCAAGTATTTTCCAGAGCTGAAGAAATTCTCTATGGCAAATGTTGGTAGTATTGATACAAGAGATAAGCTTTTAGCTCATTTTGAACCACTTAGGTGAGTGTATCACTGTTGATGCCCCTAAATAAGCTAATAACAGTTCCTTGGGACAAATTGTTAATGATTTATATCTGTTTTTATGAATAAAATTGGAACCCCAACTTTGCAAAAATATCGTTTCTAAGCACATGTTTGAAATATTTTCATTTGTGATTATTTTACAGTACTGAAAAACTGCATGAAATCGCCGCATATCTGAATCTGGTTCCACCGTTTGAATCTGACGAGAAATTTGAAAAGGAATTCCTACTTGAGTTGCTGGTTTCCAGGCATGAGAGGAGAGCGTCCCAATTACAAGAACTGAATGAGATGCCATTGTACCCCACAGAAGAAGTATTATGGGATGAGAACATAGTACCTACACAGTTCTTTTCTGGTGAAGGTATGCACTATATTCTGTTTTTATTTGTTGCCCTGTATATTGAAGACTAGCTCCACATGTTGACCACATGTAGCTGTTCTTCGGCACACAATGGGTGTTAGTACGAACAAACCCCGCCAACATCATATATGAATACTGTAATACCTGTACATCATCCTCATAACAACAAATTTTGTCTTTTCTGATTATTTCTTATTTATCTGCCTCATTAAATACTTTCACTTGAAATTCATCTGTGTAAGTGGTGATGTAATGAAGTTCTCTCAAAATCATTTCCAGAATCTCTGATATGACACAGTTTACCCATAGAGTACATTTTATGTAGCTCCTATGATAATTCGGTAGAATCGGATGCATTCAATTAATCCTGGAACATCAAAGTCAACTCTTGGTATTGTCTTTCACATCTTTCCATATTTTGTCGCAAAGACCTAAAGCCAATGGAAAATTATGCTCTGTTTGACCAAAATTAATGTAGATGAATAAAAAATGTATAAAATTTACACCAACATTTTGGTTTGTATTCAAACAAAATGTTTGTATGGTTACAATCCAGTTTGATTGTGTGGCAGGAGATCTCTCAGTGTATGTTTTTTTTTGTATTTTGCAGACTGCCTTGCACTGCCCAAACTCAATTTACAGTTTCTGACACTACATGACTATCTGTTGAGAAATTTTAATTTATTCAGACTGGAATCTACTTGTAAGTATCTAGGTTTATCACATGACTACAGTCCTAAAAATTGTATTCTATTTACCGGTAGCTGTGTTTCTCCTTTATAGCATTTTGTAGCTTTGCTAGTAGAGTACCGGTAACTTAAATGTTCAAATCGTTATATATAAACTATTTTGGTAACAAATTGTATTCAAGTTTAAATTTAAAAAATAAATATTATGCATGTTAAATTTTCAGATGAAATTCGACAAGATGTTGAAGATTCAGTCAGTCGTTTGAAACCTTGGTAAGAAATTCTTCTTATTTCCTTTTTACACTAAAATATTTCACAGTTTAGTCTGCAAAAAGCATCTGTGTTCTCTAGGAGATGTTTTCATTTATCAATTACTGTCAGTACAGATAAAAAACAGTTGTATTTTCTTTTCACTTTAGGCTAGCTGAAGACGGTAATATGGTATTTGGAGGTTGGGCAAGAATGGCTTTGGTACGTAAACTAGTAACTGTAGCAACTATACCTATAAATTTAACAAGTTTATTACAAGTTACCAGAAGATAATTTAAACATTTAATATTTTGTTCACCTATAATTTTGCGTTTATTTTTTTGCAGCCTATCACTACATTTTCTGTGGTTGAGGTGAGTTTTTTTTGTTTATGTATTTGTTCAATTGTATTATTTGTATTTATTTGTACCACCCTCCCCTCCAAAAAATGAAGCTGTGTGCTAGTTGAATGGCATGGCGATTGAGTTAAGAAAATATATGAATTTATTTTAGTACTAATGATAGACAATGATCACACTTAATGAGGACTGTCATGACATCTACACTTAATGGTATTGCATTGTTTTACAGGTTGCAAAACCAAATATTGGTGAGAATCATCCATCTCAAGTACGAGCTGATATCACTGTGGTTTTGAACTTGAGATCAGAAATTAGAACAGAATGGGAAGGTAAATTAGTTTGATATTGTCACTGTTTTTTTTTCTATTGAATTGAACATTTATTGTATTTTTAGAGTTGATGAGCTCAAAATCCAGTGAAAATTCCTACCTTATTTTATTTTATATATTAATAAACAATTTATGAGTCAAAAATGTTTGATCATAAGATAAGTTCTCAAATAATAAATAATGTTTCTGGTCAGTTTGTGCACAACCCTAAGAAACTTGCAGCTCTCGCTGTTGACGAATAATAAAACCTGTAAAACTGGGCACCATCAAACATTTTTGAAGAAAAAAAAAATCACCTTTTTTTTTGGGAGACCTTAATTGTTGTAAACAAAGTACATGTTGTTACTTATTTTCCTAGGTCTGAGAAAACATGATGTTGCCTTTGTAATAACTGTACGTCCCACTAGGCAATATGGCACTAAGTACAAGGAGAAGGAACCATTTATACAACAGGTGGGGCTTACATATATAAGAGGGTGTGAGATTGAAGGCCTCCTGGACGACAGTGGAAATGTCATTGAGGAAGGTAAACTAATCCATTCTTTTTGGTTATGTAAATATTCAAACAAAACTGGCGATAAGAAAGATAGGAAGTAGGAAAGAGTCTGATTTTATTTTGGAAAATCTAGACATCTAGACTTGACACGGTTCCCAACCTGTATGGATTGCACAACACAAAACCTGATTGCTAGATCAGAGTTGTTATGTATACTCACTGTTTATGATTTTATGCAACTTTATTTTGTTACCTTTTCCTTACTTAGTTTTTTGTTATGATAATGTTGCTTTTTTTTTCAATCAAAAGTATATGTGGGCTTTGGGTTTTAAATATTTTTCTCTTCTGTTATTTTCCCTGTAGATTTTTATTTTTTAATATTTTTTCAGTCCACATTTTGTTTCAAAATCCACTACCTGCCCCCTCCCGATTTGTAATTGGTCAACCCCTTAGTTTGTTTAAATGTATTAAATTCATCAAAATGTATTTAAGAGAATACAATGAATGTCAGTGTCTGGAACTGGTATATAATATATGAATAAATAAATGCAAATTGATATATTTTCTTCCAGGAATTGAACCTCGTCCAGAACTCAAAGGTCAAACACGTACATATCGTGTTTGGTTGGATCCCAATCAATATCAACAAGACATGGCAAAGACAGCCACTGGAGATGAGGATGTCTACGAAACATTCAATATTATAATGAGAAGGAAACCTAAAGAGAATAATTTCAAGGTATAATTATTAGACTGACTGGAATATTTTGGTAGCATATTTGCTCTATTATGTAAAATACCTGAGATGTTTTTATGGTCAGAATAAGTAATATTTTAACCTTTTCACCACCAGACTTTCTCTCCCAAATTTTTCTGCACTTTTTTCTTGATTTCTTCAATATTTCTAAAAATAATTTTTGAGCCAGCAGTCAAAATTTGATTTAAATTCACTACGTTCAATTACCCACCATAGACTCCGGTCAAAATGACTATTTTGAACTGTAGGCATTAATCAGCGATTCTGCCGGTGACAGAGAAATAGAATGTAGGTCAGGGGAAGCCCCATGACCCCAAGATTTTCTTCCCTTACGTCACGAACCACGTGACCGAGGCCACTTCGCCTCATCGGGAATGATTCTGAGCGTCTCTGCCTGGCTTGTTTGTTTTTTCCTGTCCGGGTTTCTAGCGTGGGTTATTGCCGCAGCTGCGGCATTCAACATTTTAGCTGGTAGGATAAGTTTTTCTTGTCTTCTTTACCCTCGTGTCATTTCCTCTTTGTGTGTGATATTTTTTCACAACAAAGAAATTAAAACCCGGCGCCACTACGTAACCACTTGTTGGTTTCGTGGCGGCACCTTTTACGACTGTAATCCGCTTCCCTCATGCATGTTGTCTTCATTTTATGCTTGATCTACGTATTTAGAAATGAATAGATGTAATGACAGCTCCATGACTCGCTGCCGTTTTTTGTTGTCCTCACACCTTGCAGTCTTAGACGCGTATGTTTTCGCCGAGTCAGGGGGTACGTTCCCACCTCAGTAACACAGACAGGACATCTTCCACCCTCTTTGTTCGGGGAATGGTGGGTACAGTCTCGGAGCTTCAGAGAGCAATGAACCAATGGGTTCAGATCGATTCCGCTAGTCAGTTGGGCCCGCCAATGGTAAGCGGAAGGCACCCCAAGCATAGAACGCCTTAGGGCATCGTCCGCTAGCCAGAGTCAGCCAGGAGGCAAGCGCTCATACCCTTCCACGAGAGGGAAGAGTAGTGGCGTGCCCCCTGGGAGGAAAGAGCTAGGTGGTGGATCCTCACCTTCCTTGGGCGGTCGTCTACCCTGGCAGCGGGGAAGCGTGTTTTGACGCTTACCTCTGCAGCCGGGGGGACAGACATGTGTTCGGCAAGTGGCCAGGTCACAACTTAGTGACTAATTCAGGCCTTGGGGAACTAACCTCATGGGAGACGAGAGTACACCCTGTAGTCCGGTTTGGAGACAGCGGGTGACTGATCCCTGGACCTTTTCAGGTGGTGATATCCTGTTATGGGATACCGCTGAAATCTCCATCTCTCCTGTCAGTGTCTCCCCTATTGGGCACCGCCAGGGGTCTCCCACAATCAGGCAGGAAGTAGCAGTTTGCAGGGAAAAGGCGCCATACACAGGGTAGATCAGCCGGAACTAAGTCCTGGCTTCTACCCAAATGTGTTCATAGTACCAAATCTACAAGTGGCGGGCGTCCAGTTCTGGATCTAGGCAGACTGAATAAGTACGTGCTCCTCGATCGGTTCCACATGGAGATGCCATTCAGTGTTCTTCTCTCCATCCACCGTTTTAACTCCATCTACCCATCTCCTTTGAATCGCCAAGCTGGGCCAAGTATTCAAATTTCGGGTGCCCCCCTCCCATTCGGGTCATGCACAGCGCCCTACGTGTTCACCAGAGTGATGAAACAGGTAGTGCTGCTGCTTCACCAAATGTCTGTACACCTCAATCCGTTCCCAGACTACTGGTTACTAACAACCCGGGCAAGGGGTTAATTGCCAAACATGTCATCGACAAGTCCCATCTCGACCCAACTCGCAGTTGGAGTCCCTGGGCATGGAGTTTTGACACAGAGGTAAGCTTGGTATAGCTATTTCAAGCGTGTTGCTTAGCGTTAAGCAGCCTAGCCGAACGTCTAGTCAGCGTTCCCTCAGTGTCTCTCCGAGAACAGATGCGGATCATGATGCTCTCGGCTCAAAGGGTCGTTCCCCAGGCCGCACTACGCAGGCGCCCGATATAGCGCTTGTTATAACGCCAAGCTCTCCTATGGAAATTAGATAGACGGGCTTTGATCTCAGACCAAGTGAAGGAAGCCCTGCCCTGGTGGTCGTCACTGGCCAACCTCGGACAGGGTGCCCCCTTGGACCCACTCTTCGCAGGTATGACTCTGGTAACAGATGTCTTTTCCCAAGGTTGGGGAGTGCATCTATTGGATGAACAAGCCCAAAGACATGGCCCCTGCATTAGTTTCGGGACTACCATATCAACCGGCTCGAACTGAAAGCAGTGTACTTAGCACTACCACGCTTTCTACCCGTATTTCGAGACCACAAAGTCTAGCTCTGCACAGGCAATGCAGCGGTGGTCTCCTTCAAGAAGTGGGGGGGGGGGGCGTTCACCATCGTTGTCAGTCCGTGCCTGGAATACAATGTGGAGCTAACCGCACACCACCTTCCAGGGGTGAGGAACAGTCTGGCAGATGTCCAGTGGGTAGCCTCCAGGCTGTTTCGCTGTGGGACGGTCCAAGGTTAGACCGGTTTGCCGCACCCTGGAACGCCAAGCTTCTGACGTACGTAACACTCCTGCCGACTCGCTTTGCTAACTCCGTGGACCCATTTAGTTGTGTATGACTTTCCTCCCTTCCCGCTAGTTCACAGGGCACCTGAGAAAACTTCGACCTGCATATTATCATTGGTCGCACCCAATTGGCCAAGCAAGGCCTAGTTTTCACTTCTGTCCGAAATGCTAGTCGAAACACCAGTAGTGCTTCCGTCCCACACAAACGGCGCACTACCAACGAGCCCAGCGGTTATCACTTACACCCATAGAGGCTCTCAGTAGACCCGCACATACGAAAGCTTTATCTGGGCGGGCTGCCAACGTCCTGGCCAGGGCGAACAGAGATTCCACCAACGCGGCCTACATTTCTAGGTGTACACTGATTGGTGTAGCGGAAGGGAGATTGATCCATACCATCCCTCTATTGGCCAGGTAGCAGGCTCTTTTGTCCACCTGTTTGAAGAAGTGGGTTTGTCTTAAGCAGCAAACATTGGCTACTTGTCGGCCGTGTCCCCCACCATTGAGAACATACAGGAACAAGACTAGCCGATTGTCTTATTATTAGGAGACTATTTATTACTTTCCAGATTTCGAGACCCTATACAAGGGAACCGCCCAACTGGGACTCGTCGGCTGTGTTGTCCACTCTAAGCAGACTGCCCTTTGAGCCTCTCCGATCAGCACCACTCAAATTTTTGACGTGAATAGTCTTTCTACTGGCCCTCACCTCAGGTAGGCGTTGGCCAGAGCCGGGGGCATTGTCCTTCTCGGATGATGTACCGCCGTTATGGACAATCACGTTGAGCTAAAGACACGAATCGTGTTTCTTGCTTAGAACCAAATCCCAGGACACGATCCTCACCCGATGGTCATCCCCCGGCTGTCAAATTTTGTCTGCCTGGAGGGTCAGGAGGAATTGCTTCTCTGCCCAGTTAGAGCACGGAGTGGCTACCAAACCGTACTAAGGATTCAGGACGGGGTGCCAGGCACATGTCTTTGTGTTACGGCCCAGGCAGGCAGGATAGGCCGGTCTCTCCAACTTCCATAACCAGGTGGTTTACTGCAACTGTATTAGAGGTTTATAATGCATAAGGCTCTAACCCAAGTTTTAAAAAGCACATTGTTCATATAAAAGTTGAGTTTATACTAATAGTGCGCTATGCTTGGCAGCATGAACGGCTATGTACAATGGCGTATACGAATGCGATCAGATACTAAAACGTCATAGCTTTGAAAAGTACCCGGATGTTAAATATGTTCGTTCGTTAATTATTCCCCTCCATGAATGGCCTCCATGGCAAGCACTTCAAATGCCTATCCAAGCTACAGTTATAATTAAAACAAAATTAAACCACTGCAATATTATTTCGAATACAGTTTAGAATATACACAACTATAAATTAAGGCCGCATTTAGGTTCGCTTTAAGGTTAATGATTCAGTATACAACAAAAGAGATTTGGGGAGTATATACGCTTCTATTGGAGATGTATTTTTAATAGAGTAATTATTTTATAGTACTGACATGCTGACTTCAACAGTTTGGTGATTGTTTATTTTAGTGCTATAAAAACTACTATGTGATTATTTCTTGATAATATGTCAGTGTTGTAAAGTTATAACAAATATTAGGATTTTATGGTTAAGATGATTGAAATTAGGATGAGGATTTCAAGGACATACAGTATGTAATGTATGTGGTAAGAGTTACAGTAAATAATGCACCCGTATTATTTACCTTTCATGATTTTTGTCTTTTTCTATTGTGTATTGACTTTCATTTAATTGTTTATTGCAGGCTGTCTTGGAAACAATCCGTGATTTAATGAACACTGAATGTGTCGTTCCTGACTGGTTACACGATATAATATTGGGATATGGTGATCCTGGTGCAGCACATTATTCAAAGTAAGCTAATGTCTTCTCGTAGATTCCTCTTAAAAACTACCTGCACTTCTAAACATTTAAAAAAAAAATATGGTACAAAGTGCAATAAAAAACTACTTTACATACGTTATTTGCTTCTATATTAAGTAGCATATACATTCACATAAATAACAGAAGTGTTTATGTGATCAAAATAAGGAAGAGATTTTAATAATTCAGTGGATAAATGAAAGTGATTTTTATGCACTTCTATTGGAGATACACTAATAAGTCAAATATGTTATTGTTTAATCATAGACCTTAGAAAATATTTTCTAAGGTCTATGGTTTAATATTTTTAAGATATGGAATGAAAGTGTCAAATTTGCAATGTGAAATTATCACTATATCAATATATAGATAACAAATATAATATCTTGTCAGTAGACTAGTTCTGAATAAATCCTGGGAAAATAGATATGATATAACACATGATTTACTTTATCTTCATATAGAATGGATTCTGCTGTGTCCACCTTGGATTTTGTAGATACGTTTTTGAACGTACATCATCTGAAATCTAGTTTTCCTGAATATGAGATCAAAGTCACTACAGAGGACCCAGCTTCTCAAAAACCACCTTTCAAGTAAGTGGCAATGGCTTCTTTGACCAACCTTGAAAACATTACTTGTCATATTTCAGTGTCCTCACCAAGTATGAGATTTATTGATAGGATTTTTTTCAAAATGGCTGACTTTCAATAAATATTATTATTGTTGTTGTTGTTGCAGAGTGACATTCCCTGCTAAAAAATCTGGGAAAAAACGAAAAAAAGGTGACACTGATGATAAAGTGGCTGAAGAGAAACAGAAACTACAGCTGGTAGTTGAACCATACTCAATTCCTAATAGAGGTCCATATCCATTTAACCAGCCTAAGAAGTAAGTCTGCATTGGATGAGGCATAACGTAGCAACAACTATTGCTATGGTAACATCATAACTTGCAATGTGTTATTTGTCATGAACGCTAAAGTTACATTGTTGCTCATACTGCCCTCATGAGATAACTAACTGAGTCTTGTCTTTTCTTTTGTTTTTATAGGAATGCCATTCATTTTACACCCACTCAAATTGAAGCTATAAAAGCAGGCATGCAGCCTGGACTCACAATGGTCAGTACAAAAATTATAAATGATATTTGTCATTTGCTCCATTTTGTGACAATTCTGTGAAATGTCACACTAAATCTGCAAAAGTTTTTCTGAACTTAAGAATTAAAGGAAAGATGATTTTTTTGCTCATTTTTAAAAGTTATATAATATTCAATAGTTTTGCGAACTTTTTTGTGATCTAAATAACATGCTGTTATACTACTTTTTTTATCTCGCAACATATTATTTTATAAAGATGTGTGCTCTTTAAATCATTTTTTGAGTAATTTCTTTGTGATGAGTTGAAGAATACACTTGTGATGACAATTATGTATGCATATTTTCTTTCAGGTGGTTGGTCCTCCAGGTACTGGTAAAACTGATGTAGCAGTGCAGATCATTTCCAATATCTATCATAATTTTCCTGATCAAAGAACTTTGATTGTGACACACTCTAATCAGGTACAATGCAATGTTTGTTTGATTGAGCTATAGGAATGATACAATTGATTCTAAATTGGTGGTCAGAGTACATGAACTGTATTTTCTCTATTATAAGTGTATTACCAGAAAAATCATTAATTGTATGCTGGCTCATTAAAATCTGACTTTTTGCCCCAAAACACCATGACATGTACTTGTGTGAATATTTGTGTACCAATGTTCACAATGATTTGATGAAAAATTACCAATTGTTTTTTAAATAATTTGAAAAAATGCAGAACAAATGATATTTGATAAAATACCACAGCTGTTCGTTATCAGGGGTTCTTCAAGGGGAATAGGTGTGCAGTGCCATCATACCCCAGGTTTGCTCCCTATTACCTAACCTGGTACAGTCAGTAGATTATGATCAATTATAACAAATATAGTGTTACCAATGGTAACAGAGGTGTGCTCCTTCTTAAAATTTTTCTCTAATTATTTTTTCCGATTTTTGCTCCCTATTCTTCAACTGCATTTTAGTGTTCAAGTTCCTCACATAACATGTGTTTAATTTCAAAAGGCATTAAATCAACTGTTTGAAAAGATCATAGCCTTAGATATTGACGAGCGTCATCTGCTACGTCTTGGACATGGTGAAGAAGCGCTGGAAACTGAAAAAGATTTCTCACGGTATGCTTATTCTCTAAAGTCTTGTACTTTCTGGTGACAGTCGTTGTTATGTTCTTTGCATGCACAGCTCTTTTTAGTAGCATGTAACATGTAAATTAATTCCTACACTGAGCATATTTCAACATGATGTAACAATTTTCACTAATGGCTGGTCTTTGTACATTCTAGATATGGTCGTGTGAATTTTGTCTTAGCTAGAAGATTGGAGCTGCTGAAGGAAGTAGCAAGACTACAAGAAAGCTTAGGAGTTCCAGGTGATGTATCTTACACATGTGAAACTGCTGGACATTTCTTTCTCTATCAGGTAAATAAAAGTAGTGTTTTTTTTAATTTTGCAAATTTGTTATCAATATTCATAAATATTAATTAAATATGGTACATGGAAAGCATATATCATTATAGAACATTCAGTTGATGTTGATGCCTGCATTACTAAGGAACCAAACGCACACACATGTCCCCTCCATGGCAATGTTCGTTCATACAATCAATAAGCCAAATAATCATGTTGGCCGAGAAGTCACAAAATTCTCTATTTCTCAGTTGATGAGTACCGGTAAGTTGTTTTTACTGAATTACTTCCTAAGTAATGTATGCATTGTTTCTAGGTGTTGTCAAGGTGGGAGAAATATACAAGTAAAATCAAAAGCAGCAGAGATGTGAAAAACATTCAGGAGGATTTCCCATTTGAACAATTCTTCTCAAATGCCCCACAGGTATAGTAGTCTGTTAAACGAAATAACCTATCATTGCCCACAGTCCTACTATCCCTAGTCTGAAAACATCATTATTTAAGATGTCAATCAGTAAAAGTAGTGAGACAATGCTTGTATTGGCAGTCTGCCAGGTTTGGTCACTCATTTGGTTATACAGTCACTGTGGTCTGGTCAATATCTTACATTTTTGAAACGAATGAAACTCAGTATGAATAATTTTCAATATTTTGCATTTCAACAATTTATCGTTATTCTATATGTTGTTTTTTCCTGTGAAACCACTAGCTTTTCTTTTCAATACGCTGTGATGTTCATGATGCCAATGTATGAACATACCGTACTCAAAGTTTCTGTCTGTGTAAAGAGTGAACATTTGTTACATGGTTAAAACAAAACATTTTGAAATTGGTATTATAATAGTTTAATTTTATTTTAGTATTTAATAGATTACTAATTTATCCCAAAAAAATCTCTAAATAACTGTTTCTCCAAGGCATACGCAATGACTGTTAAATTTAGAAGTGAATGATATGCACGCTTATTTTGCGTCACATCACCGATTGTGCAACTTTTGGAATACCGGTACTTATCGGAAGGTGTCAATAGTTTATTAACCAATGTAGGACAATTGCCCCATAGAACAACTGCTGCCCCATAGGACAACTGCCCCATAGGACAACTGTCCCATGGGACAACTGCTCTCCGTTGTGATTCATTACTGAGTAGAACATCTCATTTTACTTATACAGTTAATCACATTTAACCTATCATGTACTAATTATAATATATTTCAGCCAATATTCCATGGAAAATCTTATGAAGAAGACATGGATATAGCAGAAGGATGTTTTAGGCATCTCAGGAAAATATTTACTGAGTTAGAGGCAAGTATTCAACATTTTCAGTCATTGTGATATGAATTTGATAGGATGAGTGTTGTCAAGTGAGAGAGGTTGATTGAGTAATATGAATTGGAGTCATTGAGATTCAACGTCTTCTTAATCTCTCATACTAGTTATTTCTTTTTCAATGAAATTATCGTTTATGCAATGTACTTGCTGTTTTATTTTTAGGAGTTCCGTGCTTTTGAATTGTTACGTAGTGGTGCTGATAGGTCAAAGTATCTACTGATCAAAGAAGCAAAGATAATTGCTATGACTTGTACACATGCTGCACTAAAACGCAGAGATTTGGTTGATGTGGGATTCAAGGTTTGTTCACCACCAAACCATGCATATATAATGCATTTATTCATTTATTTATTTATTTGTTTGTTTGTTTGTTTGTTTATTTATTTATTTATTTATTTATTTATTTATAGCTTGATTTCTTTTGTATTTTTGCAGTTTTGGCGCCACTTAAAACCATTGTATTTCAGTTCTGTTTACCAATTACGACAGACTAAAATCTATTTCTATAATGTGCTTCCTATTTTTTGTTAGTTCTCATTGTCTGGAACTTATGGATTGACCTCTGTGCATCCGTCTGTGCTTTTTCAAGCCTGTTTCTTGAACATACCTAGACCGGTTACATTGAAACTTCATGCATATGCATGTCCATTTGTTATGTGATCCGATTCATTTCTAAGCATAACATTCATCAGAATCAAGCATTTCTTCCACTCCCGGACCCGGTTTTGCTCAAATTTTGTAGTTAAAAAGTAGAATTTGTTGTAGCCCAATCTCATTTATCATGTCTTGGGACTATATCTGTAGTTTGCTTTTCTAACATGAATGTCCATGTCATTGTATTTTCATAGTATGACAATATTCTAATGGAGGAATCCGCTCAAATCTTGGAAATTGAGACATTCATACCACTCTTACTACAGGTTAGTTTATTCACCAGACAGCCTGGAAATAAGCCTGGCTGAGTCAAATGCATCCTGTGTAAAATTCTTGCATTCCTCTCAGCATTTATGTTCAATATGTGGATTACATAGTGCATACAGTCTATTTAATTCTTTCAAAACTCTGTGCCTTGATTCTTTCATTGTTACTCTTTCCTCAGATAGAGTACTCTTTCCTCAGATAGAGTACTCTTTCCTCAGATAGAGTACTCTTTCCTCAGATAGAGTACTCGTTCCTCAGATAGAGTACTCTTTCCTCAGATAGAGTACTCGTTCCTCAGATAGAGTACTCGTTCCTCAGATAGAGTACTCGTTCCTCAGATAGAGTACTCGTTCCTCAGATAGAGTACTCGTTCCTCAGATAGAGTACTCTTTCCTCAGATAGAGTACTCTTTCCTCAGATAGAGTACTCTTTCCTCAGATAGAGTACTCTTTCCTCAGATAGAGTACTCTTTCCTCAGATAGAGTACTCTTTCCTTAGATAAAGTACTCTTTCCTCAGATAGAGTACTCGTTCCTCAGATAGAGTGCTCTTGCCACTACAGATGCTCTTGATGTATAGTATTAAGATCAAGGAAAAAATACAAACAGTTTTAAGCACTACAAATTCTCAATATTTTACTGCTAGGCTCAATCAAATCACAGTCCCTCCACAACCGGTTATGAAACGGTCAGATATCTATTGTTACAATGCGTGTTTCGGTTAATCCGTTGTTTATTTAACAGCTTAATCGTTGTTTATTTTGCTAGCGGTAAAATACGGACGTTCCGCCATCTTTCCCCAACATTAACATAAAATTAGCATATCCGATGATGTAATTTCTCCCACAAAGCATTGCGTTTTTTTTAGTGCGCATGGGTACTTTCAATGTTTTCATTCGTGTCTATATAGTCTTTACTTCCGTGATTGCTCTAAAATATTACTGTAATTTGGAAATCCTACGATGATTTCGTCGATTTTGACGATGAAAATGTTGATTGGCCATCAGATTTAGAGGAGGAAAGCCGTGATGTGGAGTCTGATTTAGATTACGAGCCAACAGTGGACGAAGCAATGACGGGCGACAATACAAAATCGCTGTCATTTCAGGAAACAATATACACAAAATAAGAATAAATGTGAACAGAAAACTAGCATTACTGTCTATCAGTAAGTATTGATGAATATATGTATATAATCAGCGACGAAAATCACGACGTTTTCAAAAATGAAACCGATCTACCGAGTGGCAGCCATTTTGTTTTACACACAAAAAAACAAACGAGTTGCGAAATAAACGATTTCAATTTTAATATATGTCCTATAACGCAATAAACTGAATTAACCTGGTAAAATCCTATTCAATTTTAAGATAATTCGAAAAATTATCATTATATATTCGATAAAGTGTCAACAATTTGGGTCAAAACTACCGACATCGTCATAACACAAATGCAATGACCGATTCTAAAACTGCCCCTGAAGTTCCCAGTCACAAATCATTTGATATCTTGGATAAAAACGACATACACGACCTAATATTCACTCAAGATGTTCCTGACAACTAAATAAACTCAAATAATAGTGTTAATTACGAAATATATTTGAAGAAACTATTACACTACGTTGATTTCTCCTACTCGACCAACGACTGACCTCAGTGTGAGCGCTTCAGCGTGAACTATGACGTCATCGCTTCAGCTGGAAGGCTGAAACACGCATAGTTTCTCGATCTGAACTCGTTCACACCTTTTGACAATAGCGTTTCATAACCGGTTGTGGAGGGACTGTGTTCAAACTAATGAGGCTGACTGGTGGCCATTTTGTTTTTCATGATACCCATGTCTACTTTCCCATGAATGCAATGAACATTTCTGTTTAAATTTTGTACAAAGATAGTATACCAATAAATACATGAACATTATTTTTGTAATTTGATTCAATATGACTGCCCAATGTCCAATTCTGTGTAATAGCACTAAATCATAATTTTTTACAAATCCATCTCCTATTAATGGTTTCAATCTAATCTCAATGACTTCATCAGCATCACATTGATATGTCAAATCACAAAATTTTGGATAGGGACTGTGTCATTAACAATGACTTGTGTTTTTCAGATCAAATTCAAAATGCCTGACTGGCGGCTATTTTGTTTTAATGAATGGGTTTCTAGTGCCATATCTCTGACATGTTTTGATGTTCAAATTTTATATATTCATTATACATCATGTTATAGATATATACTGGATTCTGCCATAAATTAGCCCAGGGCCGTTAAACGGCAGTTCGAGCTTAAAAAAAAAAAATAGGACCAAGAAACTACCCAGAGCGATTTTTTGGCAGTTTTTTAAGGTGTTATTTTAATCTTTTCTGATGCCTAAAAGTTTCGCCGTAGTCATTAACGCCTATACAAGAGTATTGATGTTTATTGCAACTAGCGTGGATGGGTTAGCTTCATTTCGATAACATTACTGTAAACTATGTTAAATTATTCTTCAAATGCTCAACGGACCATAGGTCTGCTGAGCCTATGGGATGGGTTTCTGTCCTGCGTCTGTCATCCGTCTATCTGTCTGTCTGTCTATCTGTCTGTCTGTCTGTCTGTCTGTGCGTGCGTGCTAATCGTCTCACTGGGGGGCTCGCTGTGGAACTAGTCTTGGCAAGTTAGGTAGCACTCATTGTTAGGCAGATTTCAGCTATGCTTTTCAGACTGTTTGTATGGTCCCAGCAGCGTGCCCCCCCCCCCTGTTTTGCCAAACAAACGTGTGTTCTTATCTCTTTATCTGTTGTGTCATAAATTATTTTATTCTCTCAACATGCTGGAGTTTGTGTCAATGTTTTACTTTTTCGACTTCTTTTTGAAAACTACAAGCCTGAATGCTTTGATACTTGGTGTGTGATACTTTCGACTTCTTGTTAAAAACCACAAGTCCAATTGCTTTGATATTACATATATAGGTACTACATGTGGACCACTCTCAAATTTGTTCATTTCATAATGATATTTTCAAATCTCTAATTTTAGTGAATATTTTTGTAATTTTTGGTAAAAAGTGATATTTTCGACTTCTTATTGAAAACCGCAAGTCCAATTGCTTTGATATTAAATATATAGGTACTACATGTGGATCTTTCTCAGATTTGTGAACTAACAAGGACTGTGCCATGCATGGCTTGTTTGAAAAATATTTTGACAAGTTTCTCGAAATACATCACTGTAACACACAAAGGAATGCAACTGTAAATGCATTAATTATTCACTGGGTTTTAATTTTGCTATTTTTTCTGATAAGTAAAATCTGCTAAATTAAATCTGTGTGAACATAAAAATAAAACCCAATTGTTTCCTTGACAAATTTGTGAAATTAAAAACACAGTGAATATGTTCAAAACATCAAAATAGTGAAATTAAATGTCAGTGAAAATGGTTTCACAGTTTGTCATGGTGCCATGGACAATTTGGGGGAGGGAACATCTATGTATTTTCACTGCCTGGAAACCATCACATTGAAAACAAAAATGTACTTTGGAATAGATATTGAGACTCCCATAAACAGTGTATAAAACTATAACCCTACATGTACAACATATATAAATTTGGTTGCTCAGTTGAGTTTGCGTTGTTTCCATGACTTTAGCTTTTTTTTCCGGCTTTGTAACACAGCAACTCAGACAGAGCTCATAGAAATACAAGGTACAGTGGTGAATGTCTTAGCATCGTAGAACGTTCTGTGGTGTAGCTCTGCTTCCAAGAATAGCTAGTACTGGTAGGCTTCTACATTAATTCTAAACAGTTTACACAGCAGTATAGTGTATTCTTGCTACTAATTCTCACATAATATGGTGGCACCTGCTTCTTATAATAAATAAATTTATTTCGCAATGTTATATACTTTCTTTGATAATTGTGTAGTTGCCTTAATTTAGGTTACTACAAAAGATAGCCTAACATCCTACTTTTTCCTAGAAAACTTTCTAGCAATAATCATTGCTTAGTAAATTACTGTGATTGACTAAACCATTTATGCAGGGTTGAGAAGATGTTAAAAGAAATGAAGAGAGCCCAACAACGTGAAGTGGAAGATACAAAAGCTCTAGAAGACATGATACATCAAGTCGAAACAAACTTAGAACTTACAACGGTGAGTTAGAAATTAACACTGATGGGACTACCGTAGTTAAATCAAGTGGGGTAAGACCAAATAAATGACTCAGAGACAAGGATGCCGGTAGGTAGGTATGGGGGGGGAGCATCACACCCTCACGTGCAGGCGTCATAGCGGCTGACCCCATGATGCAATTCGCAGATTTGAATTACATCATGACATGAACAACGTGGTACCTGAGTGTTGGTGGTCACTACGGCAACCTCACAAGTAGGCGTCGTAAGAGTTGTTGCCACCGTACGAGTCACAATTTAGACTAACACTGCGGCAAGAACACCGTGGTACCCAAGCAAGGCTGTGTATGCTGCAGTGACAGCCCCCCCCCCC